GGAAGTTTAAAATTTATTTTTCTCTAAGATATTATTAGAGTTTTCATTTAAAAAGTTCAGTTCAAGTTCAACAAAGTTTCCAATTCCCTTATTATCAACATGATATACAGTGTTTATAATGATGACATAAAGGCATTGTGAGATCCTTGTATTAGTTTTCTAGTGATATGTAACAACTGTTTTCCTTTTGTTGAATCTCTCTTTCATATTGAATTTTTTTTGCCAGAAAGAGTCCAGACCCTTTTAAGGGATCACTTCATTAGGTCAGCCTTCTCTCCTTCAAGAATAATCTCCCTTTCTTAAAGTCAACTGATTGGAGACCTTAATTATATCAGCAAACTCCCTTTTGCCGGTGACATACCATAATTATAGAAATGAAATCCAACCTATTCATAGTCTTACCCCCACACAAGAGGAGGGAATTATGAAAGGCATGTATGTCAGACAGGGGTTTTGGCGCCATCTTAGAATTCTGGGTTTGATTTAATAACAGGACTGTAGCCTAGCCAAGTCAACACATCAAAAAAGATATCACAATCCTGAAACATCAAGTAAAAATTTGGTTTGAATTTTAGTGTTATAAATGTTATTGTGATTTTTGTTTGTTTTTTGATGGAAACGTGTTCTCTGCATTTATGGATGTTTGCATGTATCTATTTGAAGGAGAGACACGTTTAGTTGATCGGAGTGATCTCTTTTTCAGGTTGTCCCATTTTTGTACACAGCGATAAGAAAAATGAGATCCTGGGGTTTAATAACACTTAAGCTTGGAAGCAAAATTTAAACACTCATTCATATGCCACACCCTCTTAATATGATTTCTTTGCCTTTCCAATAGTAAGAAGTTAATTTTCCCAGGAACCACTCTGCCTGACCAGAAATTGGGGGAGAGTGATGGACAGAGTTATTAGCCATAGCTCAGGTGGAATAGGATGTAGATGCCATTGGATTATCTTTCTTAATCCTGAGATGGGAAAAAATTTCTGATCTTATTCTTAATCCATTTTAAGCTTAATTTATTTTCTTAGTGTCATAGAAATTCAGAGCTGAAAGGGGTCTCAGAGACAGATCTTGTCTTACTCTCCCTTGGGGAACAAGAGTTAGCGTCATCTAACTAGCTGGCTACCATCTAACTATGGTAGCCAATCTACCATAACAAATCAATAGCTTAATGGGCATATAAATGGTTTTAGATAAAACATTGGGAATTTTTTCCCCTCAGCATCTCAGTTGGTTCTTAAATGTCCAATTCAGTGATTCTCAAATTTTTCCCCTGTAACAAATTAGAAAGAGGTAACACATTCGTGTCAGTGACAGGAGCTAAACTCCAGCAGAAATCTGCAGCAGTGATTTTAAACTGAGAGCATGATGAGCATCCAACTCCCCAACTCCTATCCCCCACTTACCATCAGGGAACATATTAAAAGCTTGGGGTGAAAAGGGAGAGTGTGTGAAGCTTGAATAAACCCCAAGTGATTTTGATAAGCTCCAATTAAGAATCATATTTTTTTGTTCTATAATCCCACTCTCTTTCTGTCATTGAAATGTCTCATATTTCTTATGATTTCTGCATAGGATCTTGGAGTCCTTGAGTAGTCATCTAGTTTATCTCACCATCTAATTCACAGATTATTTCTATCATGCCCCAGGTAGTTGGCCATTCAGACTTTTTACCTAAATGCTTGACATGATGAGACATTATTACTTCCCAGAGGATCTTGATCTGTTATCAGGCAGTTTCATTTCTTCCTTAAGTCAAGCTAAACTTGCTATCCCTGTAATTTCTCACTCACTGGAAGGACTTTAGTATTTCTCCCAAGTTTATTCTTCTCTAGGATAAAAATCCCCAGCTCTTTTAGCCATTGCTCATGGTTTCAGGATCTCCATTCCAGTCGTCTTCCTTTGGAGCAGTTCCCTGTTATATCTTTAAATGTGATGAGTAAAACTGAACTCAAGACTGCATTTGTTGGTCATGCCCTTCTACCTTCCAAGTTACCATTGTTTCTGTAACTCTCTGACAGGTCTTTCTTCTCTGTCATCTATTCTCCACATGGCTGCCAAAGAAGATCTTAAATAAGTAGGTCATTTTTCTTCCCTATTTGAAGCCTTCCAATCACTTGTCCTTGCTCTTAGAATAAAATCCTAACTCCTAACAAGCTGCTAAGACTCAACGTGATCTTGCCCCAGCAAACACTTCCCATCCGATCTCGTATCACTAAGTTCCAGCCACAGTGGCCGTCATTTGGTTCCCTGGACTTGTTCCTTTGGCATCTCTTCTTCCCTGGGCACACGGCAGGCTCCTTCCTGTCCAAGGCTCTCTTCCAGGTTCTCTCCAGAGATCTTTCCTTAATGCCCTGAGAGAGTCTGTTCCTCAGCTCCTGCCCTGCTCAAGCTCAGGGCCCCCTGCCTTGTTCACTGCTGGACTTTGAAGAGCCGAGAGGAGTACCTACCCATGGTGGAGCTTTCAATAAATGTTTGTGGGATAAGTGAAAAATTAGTGGTCAGACCAGAGTCATATACACCTCTTATTTTCATTAATAATTTCTATTAATGTATCCTAAGATGGTTCTGTTGAATAGGGGTGAGGCCACTGAAAGAACATTTCATTATCAGCTCATATTGAATATGAGATCAGACACTGGCTGTGTTTTGAGGGTAGAGCTGGCAGCATTTGCTGTTGGACTAGATGTGGGATGTGAGAGAAATCAAGGAGTCGGGTAACTCCAAGGTTTTGTCCCTGAGCAGCTGGAGAAGTGGAGTCCCCACTACTGAAATGAGGACAACTGGGAAGGGAGGTTTGATGGGAGGTGGGTGGGAGAATATCAGGAGTCAGTTTGCTACATGAAAACTTAAGAAGCTTAAGAGCCTTGATTCACTGTGCCTCAGTTTCCCTGACTATAAGGAGGGGTTAATAATTCCTCATATGATAATTGTGAGGATTTGAAGAGTTAATGTGCATAACTCAAAATAATGATGGTAATAGGTAAGGAGGAATAAATTGATTAAACATAGTTATTAAATCATCGAGCTTTTACCAAATCCTCTGGGCATTAGACATCAAAAGCCTAGGCATGATTCACAACATTTTTTTCTAGTAGGATTTTACGCTGTATGAAGTGGGGTTTTGGGGGGTATAGGAAGATGATCAATTATATGGTTGGAAATTAAGGTATTGATTCAGAGTATCTAAAAATATATATCTCTTCGAAGAGATCTAAAACCATGGGAGCATCAAAAAATTGTCTTCTGTTCACTTGCTAAACTATCATGACGACTGTAACCTTGTGTTGAGTCTCTACTATGTATAGGGAAAAACACTAGATTCTGAGAAGCTAATTTCTCTAAGAAAGAGTTCATAATTTTGTTATATTCTGGTTATTAATATAAACATTTTTCCAGGGTTTAACATAAGCTTAACACAAGAAATGTGTGTGTGGCTATCATGGAATGGAAGGCCACAGAGTTCCTCACCCACTGATCCTGAGGGGCAGAGCAGGCTAGGATTTGAAGGAGAGGTGTTGATTTCAGAGGAATGCCAGTGCGTGCTTAGGGCAGGATTCAGAAGTGCTCTTCCTACAGGACAGCCCTCTGTACAGGCAAACGTGGGAATGCTTTCATTGCGTTCACCTGGCTTTATTGTTAGAGAAGAAATTTCCTAGCTAAAATTATGAGCTTAAGGGCTTGTAACATGCAATTAAACTTAATTTTTTAAAAGTTCTAAACAAATCTTATTTGAAGTCTTAATATCTTAATTTCGTTTACATAGAATGTGTGGATATCTTTTCACTGTAAAAATAACATGTGACCCACTTCATAACAGCTTCCTTAATAACCTAAAGCCACTCATGTTACTTTACATGTAAACAAGGCTTCTGAAGCCTAATTATTCATGAAGAAGTCTAATATTGCAGAATAAGTTAGAGAAAAGGTCAGGGCTCATCTCTCTTGGTCTTAGTCATGGAGAGGGTACCTAGTGATACAGCTTCCTCCCTTGGGTCCCCTGAGTCAGTCTTTGCAGGAACACTTCATTGTTGCTTTAGGTAAACTCTTGGCACTTTACACATACGGGTATTCAACATACAAATGTAGAATAATAGTTGTATTACTAGTTAACATAACTGAGTACTTGGTAAATGCTGAGCTTTGTTTCAAGCCCTTTGCATATACTTTATTAACTGTTAATAGTTATAACAATCCTTCAAGGTGTAGATACTATTAATATGTTATACCCGTGTAACAATGGAGGACACTGAAGAACAGAGAAGTGTTAAGACATTGTCAAGGTTATGTAGATTGTTGTATTAGAATTGGGTTCAAACCCAGGCATAGTGGCCGCAGAGCCCTGTTCTCAGCTACCGTGCTATACTACCACCTTCCATAACATATAGTTTAGTAAAAATTTGAGAAACACTTATTAACTATAGTTTTTTGTTTCATAAATAAAATTTGTTATATAAGTAAATTATGTATAATTTGTTTTGTGTATGTATATAAATATGTGTAAGAATCAAGGCCACCACTTTAATTATCTTTATTTTCATCTCTACATTAAAATATATGGTATAGACCATTTGCAGGATTTGAAATGATTATAGTAAATATTAATTGTGATTTTTGTTTTCTTTCTCCCCAGTTCCGTGGTTTTCTCCAAATGAAAATATTCTCATTGTTATTTTCCCAATTTTTGCTGTACTCCTGTTTTGGGGACAGTTTGGTATCAAAAGTAAGTATTTCAACTTTGCATTTTTGTTTCAGTGATGAAATTTTTATTTCTAGGAGACATTATTAGTGAAATATTTAAATAAGTTGTTTTAGGAAGAGTATTATTATAATAAACAAGAATATGCAGTTTGAATAGTAGTAGTCTCCTTGAATTATGTATCGCTGCCCATATTTTGCTACAGTTCACATTTAATTCCTAAGAAGGTGTTTTTTTTATTTGTTGTTGTTATTATTTATGTATTTATTTATTTACTTATTTCAAAATATTATGGGGTACAAATATTTTTGGTTACATGGATCACTTTTGTGATGCTTGAGTCAGGGTTAAAGTGTGGCCATCACCCAGATAGTGTTCATTGTGCCTGTTAGGTTTTTGCCCATCCCCTCCTCCTCTCTCCCGCTTACTTGATTTCCATTGAGTTTTACTTCCCTCTGTGTACATGTGTGCTCATCGGTTGGTTCTAATTTAATAGCAAGTACATGTGGGGTTGTTTTTCATTCTTTAGATACTTCACTTAGGATAATCATTTCCAGTTCTATCCACATTGTTGCAAAGGCCTTAATTCATCTTTCTTTGTGGCCGAGTAGTATTCCATAGTGTATACATACCATATTTTGTTAATCCACTCATGAGTTGATGTGCACTTGGGTTGATTCCATATCTTTGCAATTGTGAATTGTGCTAAAATAAACATTCAATATTTTAAAGGTTGCAGAATAAATTAAATCAGTATGATTTATTCCTTGCCTGGATAAATGTTTACTAGTCTTCAGGGTACTACTACAGGGAAAGTAGGAATAAATCTTACATTTGTCTTTTTGATAAAATGACTTCTTTTCCTTTGGGTAAATATTCAGTAGTGGGATTGCTAGATCAAATGGTAGGTCTACTTTCAGTTCTTTGAGGAATCTCCATAATGTTTTCCGTAGAGGTTGTACTAATTTGCAGTCCTACCGAGAGTTATAAGCATTCCTTTCTCTCTGCATCCACACCAGCATCTACTGTTTTTGGACTTTGTAATAAAATACCCATTCTAACAAGGGTAAAGTGAGATCTCATTAATTGGCATTTCCCTGAAGATTTAGTAACATTGATCATTTTTTTCATATGTTTATTGGCCATTTGTCTTCTTTTGGAAAGCTTCTGTCCATGTCTTTTGCCACTTTTAATGGGGTTGTTTTTTTCTTGCTGATTTGCTTGAGTTCTTTGTAGTTTCTGATTAATAGCCCTTTATCGGATGTATAGCTTGTCAATGTTTTCTCCCATTCTGCAGGTTGTCTATTTGCTCTGTTAATTATTTTCTTAGCTGTGCAGAAGCTTTTAATTTAAGCAAATTTCATTTATTTATTTTGTTTGTTGCTGTCATTACCATTGGGGTCTTTTTCATAAATTCTTTGCATAGACCAATATCTAGAAGAGTTTTTCCTACATTTTCTTCTAGAATTCTTATGGTTTCACGCCTTAGGTTTAAGTCTGTTAATCCATCTTGAATTAATTTTTATGAAAAGCGAGAGATATGGATCCTGTTTGATTGTTCTGCATGTGGCTATCCAATTTCCCACCACTATTTATTGAATAGGGCTTCTTTTCCCCAGTGTATATTGTTGTCTGCTTTGTCAAAGATCAATTGACCGTATAGGGATGGTTTTATATCTAGGTTCTCTGTTCTGCTCCATTGGTCTATGTTTCTATTTTTGTGTCAATACCATGATGTTTTGGTTACTATAGCCTTGGAGTATAGTTTGAAGTCTGGTAATGTGATGTCTCCAGATTTATTCTTTTTGCGTAAGATTGCTTTGGCTATTCAGGTTGTTTTGTGGTTCCCAAAAAAGCATAGAATTATTTTTTCTAGAATCTGTGACATATGACGTTGGTGGTGTTGTTTTAATCTCTCAAGAATGAATGATGGGAATATTAGTAATAACAATACCTAAATTCATGTAGCATTTTAATATTTACAGAACATTTACACACATAATATTTTATTTGGTAAATAGATAGTAACAGGCTACCTTAGTTTAAGATAGAATGTTATACTTTGGAGAATTTAGATTCCCCTCTTTTTATTTTCCCAGTTTGAATTTCTCTGTGTACATGTGTTCACTCTTGGAAAGGCCCAGTTGGAACCATGTTTTGTCATCCTCACCAAGCAGTTCTGTAGCCTCTAAACAGGCAGCCGTGGGAGAATTGTGTTCTGTGATCTTGCTTTCCTGTAATACTCATATAACCAGACTTCTGAGGCAAATCTTGATGCTGCATCAGATTTAGCATCAACAATATAGAATTGTCATTACTAAGTAAATAGGTAATATGCATTCTGATTAATGTTTATACTCAACTATATTTATCTATTTTGGTTAAGGTAATTTACTAAATTACTGAAATCCTGAGGTGACAGTCTAAACTTTTAAACTTTTAAAATGTAATATTTATTTCTACTTTCCCTATAGTACCCTGAAAACCAGTAAAAATTTATCCAGACAAGGAATAAATAATACTGATTTAATTTATTCTGCAACCTTTAAAATATTGAAAGCTAGTAAAATATTATAGTAGGTTGGCCACTACAATATTCTGTATTTCATGAATTTTACTTTTACTCAGAAGTTTAAGCCATGTGTATCTATAGTGATATGTAAAAATGGTAAGGAGATGACTGATTATGTTTTAAGATCTTTTCTCAATGTGTGGCACTCTGGAATTGCTTAGCGATTTCAGAGATGTTCTCAACTTTTGTCTAAGATGATAGAAAAGGGAAGAAAGGGCTGAAAGTGGCAACTGTCAAGTCATTTCACAACTCGTACTTTCAAGACAGTAAGCCTTTTATATCAAGATGCTGGTATGGCATCAAGACCTATTCTGTCATCACTGATATTAGGGAAAGCTTTTAACCATATTGGCAGACCCAGGCTTTAAGAGCTAAGTCATATGATTTGGGCAGGGAAGACTGTGAAATTATTTCACATTAGTGTGATTTTTTGAGTTTGGATTGATAGACGTTTGCTGATCATGGCTTTATCATTAGTGATATCATTTTTAGCGGAATGAACCAGGAGTGAATCTGTTCACTATCAGCTGAATTTTTATAAAATGAGCTTTACAGGTTTTTTTTTTTCCCTGACTTAAAGTAATACATATCACTTTAGAACACCTTATACTATATAGGAAGTTATAGAGAAAAACAGAAAATCATCTAGAGTCTCAAAGCCTAGAAATAAA